AATTCCTCCCTTCTCCAAGGCAGACAGCCACATCCCCACGGCACAGCCGCTAAGGGCTGCCCACACATCTACTGCTGTCCACAGGGATCTTAATCCAGCACATCAGAGTTTCTGCAGGATTTATTTCTGGTGTCCTCAACATGCTGTTGAGGTGCAAGGCCAGAGGAGGCCACGAGGATGCTCAGGGGCTGGAGCAGCTCCTGTATGGAGACAGGCTGAGGAAGTTGGGGCTGTTCAGCCTGGAGAAGAGAAGCTGCTGGAGACCTCAGAGCAGCTTCCAGTGTCTGAAGGGGGCTACAAGGAGGCAGAGAGGGACTCTTCATCAGGGACTGGAGTGATAGGACAAGGGGTGATGGGTTCAAACTGAAACAGGGGAAGTTCAGGATGGATATAAGGCAGAAGTTCTTCCCCGTGCGGGTGCTGAGGCGCTGGCACAGGGTGCCCAGAGGAGCTGTGGCTGCCCCATCCCTGGCAGTGTTCAAGGCCAGGTTGGACACAGGGGCTTGGAGCAACCTGCTCCAGTGGAAGGTGTCCCTGCCCGTGGCAGGGGGTGGAACTGGGGGAGTCCTTTTCAACCCAAACCAGCCTGGGATTCTATGATTCTATAGGATGTCTTCAATCACATCAGGAAACATCATCCCTGTGGCCAGCTGGAGGACTGACAACAAAGCATGATCACCAGCTCCCAGGGGGGCAGAGAACCTGCTATATGCAGAGAGCTTTTTCCTTTCCATAATCTTAAGTGTGTCCTGATGAGACAGAGTTTGACAGTTCCAAACAGAAACTGACATGATGCTCCATTACATGTGTGAGCACAAACATATGCTGTTAAGCTTTAAAAAGGTCAAAAATTATAAACACAATTAGACATAAACCAACAGTGAGGTTTAGTCTGTCTCTAGGCTGTGCTCCAGGGAGCAAGGCTGTTCCTCAGCAGCGGGTCTAGAACAGCCACGCTGCATGTTACCTGTGCTGTCTTGTGAGCCGTGCTGCATCCAACTGCATGGGAGCTGGAGAGGTGCATACACGTGGCACTGATCCTTCTGCCACCCTGCCCATCACACTGCTCCCAGTTCCTTCTGGGAAGAAAGCAAAAGGATCCCGGGACACCTGTGGGACAGCTGCCATGTTGGCAAAGGGACAGGGCCCTGGGGTGAAATGGGATAATTGGAAGTGACTGCAGAGGCCTCCCAGCAATGCCAACGGGAGCCAAGGGCTCCGGCGGGTATCGGGTGTGCTGCTAAGCCCAGCTCCAGCGCCTCAGCAGAAACCACTCGCTGACAACTGAGAATGATCAGTCACCCCCAAGCACACCGACGTGGGGAGAGTAATTGACTAAACAAGAAGTTAAAGTTACCTTAAATAGTTACGAGCCTGTGACCTTTTAAATCATTCCTGGAGGACTCGCTGCTTTGCTGCGTCTTCCTGGGACTCGCAGATCGGATTTTAGCTGGTTTTGTGTTACTCATCCCCATCATGGACCCTGCTTCACATTACAGCCTCTTAATTCAGCAGCTCGGTGAATTAGAGGAATTAACCTGAACACATTTAGCTGCCACCCTGCAGTCCACTGCTGCCTTCAAGCACAAACAATGCACTGTCCCAGAGCTGTAAATAGGAACCGAGCAGCCGTGCTGGAGATTGAAATGCTCTGTTAAGAGGGACAGCAGACAGCAAGTCTGACACCCTCGCGAAACATTAAGGGTAAGAGAAACCAACACAAGCAAATTGGGCTGGAGAAGTCACAAGGCAAATCCTCTGTGCAGATGTGAACATTTTTCATAGGGATATTTGTGGAACGAATGTACATTTCTGTAGTGTCATCCCCCTTCACCTCCCAAGAAACCCAGGGCAGCCGAGAGAACAAAACTGCTCTTCCCCATGTTTAAAGCTTGATGGCAGAACGTTAGCTCCTGCTCTTGCAGCACTTTTCTGCTATGTTACAGTGCCAGTTACACGGGTATTAAAGATCTCCTTTCCTCACAGCATACACAATGTGTGCCCAGTAGAGCGTTCTGTTTATAACCAGGACTAACCAGAGCCCATCTCTCACAGCCTGACGTTGCACCTAATTAAATGCTCCATAATTTAGCTGTAGTCATGCCAGTGACGCACAGTCCCACCAACGTGACCTTGGCCACGGGCCAGACAGCTTCCCCTTCTCCTCTCCCCTATCTGTGCTGGAACGAAGTAATATAGGGTAAAATCAGGGCAAAGACTTGTTCCCTTAGTGCCCAGAAGGGACCCTGGTCTGCAGCGAGCAGGCACAGGAGGAACAGCACCATATAGCACTGTGTGGATTAAAAGGTTTTAGTTTCTTACCAGCTAGCAAGACATTCACCTATTTTGCTCCCTTTTACTAGTCAACTTTCCCTTGGATCTCCGCAAAACAGCCCAGGCCCTGAGGACATACCTTACCTTATTAGGCAACGGGAGTCCAGAAAGTTTAGGGCTTGGAGCCTTCCTGAGGTTAAAAAGACAGTCCAGGGGCACGTCCTCAGCCCATGGCCACAGGGAGTGAGGGCAACAACAGAAGTGGGGCCTGGGGGGGGTCACTGGGACCCCTTGGGCCCCCAAACACACAGCCTGGCAATGGCAGGCGAGGCACAAAACACTAAAGCCATGCCTGATCTTTGTAGCTGTTAGTCAAATCCATCCTTTCAAATAGGTGAGCACTGTGATCACATCTGGAAGTGGCTGTGGAAGATAAAACGCCACTAGAAGCAAAACAGTCATGAGAAATAGAACATCCCAAAATCGTAGAGTAACAGAACCATTGGAGTTGGAAGGGACCTTCAAGCTCATCCAATTCCAACCCCCTGCCACGGGCCAGGACACCTTCCACTAGAGGAGGTTGCTCCAAGCCCCTGTGTCCAACCTGGCCCTGAACACTGCCAGGGATGGGGCAGCACAGATTGCAGGGATGGGGCATTCATTCCCTGGCCCCATGACTTAATTCTCACTGGTACTTCACAGTCAGTGCCTTAAGAACAGGAAGCTTTTTCCTAATGCCAGGTGACCCACCCTGCTCAATCTGGTTCCAACTGAACCCTTCAGACTCCTGCAGGTTTTACTTTCTGAGCAACAGAGACCAGACTGTGGCCAAACTTTTTTCCCCACCTCTGGTTTGAGCTCAGGTCCCCCAGACTGAACAAAGGCTCTTTCCTTCCCATCCTCTCCCCATTGGAACCACTCACAAAACTCTCCTAAAGCTGCTTCCCCAGAGGCTTTTTCCAGCTGAAGTCCTTGTGCCCTTGAACATTTATTCCACAATAAAACTTTGTCTGCTCTTCCAACTTTCCACAGTGCAACCAAGCAAGCTGCAGCACAGGGAGAAAGGCGGGGTTGGTAGCAAACACATGAAGTTTGCCTGACACATCCCATTACCAGACTGTTTGCAGTTCCCTAAACCTCAGCCAGAGCTTCTGGGCTGCTTTCCCACGCTGGTGCTCCCAAATTTCAGCCAAAATAGTACATCCACTTCTGAGAATTAGATCAAGATGTTTTTGCTTCTCTTTCCGATACTGCATTTACCTTTCCTTTGCTAAACTCCAGCACTGCAGCGTTTGGAGGAGGGAATTCAGGCAGGGCCTTTTTTGGCTCCCATGAAAATCTTACTATCATCCAAGATATAAACACTGGAGGAAGAAAATAACTAACTGCTCACATAGAATCAGGAGAGTCTGTGGGGATTTGCAACTAAAGCAAACACTTCAGGACATTCAAGTTCGGATGGTGGCACTTGCCATTCCAGAATGATCATTATTATTGATGAATTAGTGATTATTAATCACACTTCCTACTTGGTACCAAAACCAAAAGCAAGGAGCTGCTCCATGATTCTTGCCAAAGTGCTGGCCAGTGAGCAGGGCAGAAATCTCTCTGATTTGGATGTAAAATGGGAAGACTGACCAAGTGACATGATGCTGGAGGCATGCAATAAAGACAACGAACTGGAAACGGGATAAAAACAAGAGGACTGGGAGAATGGGAAAAGCAGCACCAGCAGAGTGGGAGGAGAGTCTAAACCAGGCTCTAACGTATGTAGGGTGTGTAAGGAGACAGGGGACTTGCCACAAAGCACATGACCACTGCGAGCTGCTCTGAGGTCTCCCTTTAAGGAGCCTTCTCTTCTCCAGGCTGACCCAGCCCATACTTCTCTGGACTCAGTATTGCAAAGAGAAAACCAAAAATGCACTCTGAAGAGCATTACTGACAATTCTCAGCAAAGAACCAGTTAATTTCAACAAAACAAAGCTTCAATCACTCTACTGAAGTGAAAAGTACGTGGAAAGACTCCCACAAGTTCAACGTTGTCTGGCACAGACTAAATGTCGCTCAAGCAGAGTGACCCCTGAGCAACCTTCAGTCTGCTTTTTTCCCTGGGTCTTGCACATCATGCTGTGATACTTTGGAAATGTATTCAGCTTTAACATTGTCAGAGTAAGTCATGTTGTCAGGCTCAGATGTGTTTTAGACTAAGACAGACAAAACCAAAAGAAACCAAGGCAATTTGGAAGGACTCAGTAATCATTATAAAAGGGAAAAAAAGGGCCTCGACAGACACTGAGGCAAGAACAGGGGAACAACGAACCATCTCTGACGTGCTGCTCACCAAGACCATTTCCTGCCAAGACGCCAAACCCAACGAGGAGACAAGATACAAGAGACACTGTCTAAAACCTCCGTGTTGGGGTGATTCCAAAGCACAGGTCGCACACTCAGGCACCCGATGGCCGCGCTGCCCAGCGCCCACCCCTGCCCCTCTGGCTTTGAGAACTGCCCCTGCAGCTCTCCCAGAGCCAACCTGTAGATAATCTTTATCGTTCAGATGAGGAATCAATAAGCAATTTGCTGCTCAGAACTACCTCCTGGTTCATACTCAGCTCCCAACCAGAGCCTGAACCTCTCCTATAAACAAGAGTCAAGCCATAGAAGCCTTCTTGCCACCAACATTCAAGAGTGAAACACCAACTATTCACATGCATGTTTTCACTTACCCGAGTTTCCTTCACTTCCTCATTTCCATCAACTTCATCATCATCCTAGGATGAAAAGCAAACACTGTAATTAGGCAGCCTTGGAAACAACCAGATTGTATGACAGGAAGATAATATATTGCTTATGATTTGATGTCAAAGCTTCTGTCAAAAGAAATCCTGTCTAGATACTTTTGGCTGATTATCAGATCAGGTTTGATACCTAATGGCCATTTAGAAGACCTTGGTACTGAGGACATAGTTACTCTCTTGAGTAACTGCAATTTGAATGCTCCGTAATGTACGTAGGGAACACACATGACACTTGGGAAGGTTGTGTGTCTGAAGTGTTGATGTAACACTGGCTTTCCAAGAATATCCTCCCTTTCAGTTAGACTCCAGGAGGGAAGACTCTGCATCCCAGAGAGCCTGCACTTACACAGCCTCTCTGTAACCCACTGCCTCTCTGGAACAGCTCCAGGGTTTCATGGAGCACTGGTAAACTACCATGGCATTACATCACCCGTAGTGAACTCGGGGTACTTCAGAAGCTGTAGCTGCAGTTTTGTATAGACACAAAAGGGAAATGAACTGAACTCTGAGAAGCAATTTGCCTTCTGCTCTGAAGCTGGTAACGTTGCTACAGTGACCCAGCAGACAAGTGGGCAAGATAGAAAACACAAAAAAAACCCAGTAAGAAAAAAATAATTCTATTTGGCATGTAAGAAAAAAAGATGTAAGAATCATTTGAAAATAATCTAAAGGGGTTTGCAGCAAGTCTTTCAACAGAAATCTCCAGGCCTCCAGCAGAGCCATTCATCTTGTCTTAACTCAAGACTGTTGCCACAGGGGTTTTTTCATTGTATTGAGCAGGAAGCCACTTCCCCTGAGGTGTATGAGGGAGGCTGTGTCCATGGATCTGTCGCAGACTTCTCAACCCTGATTTCATAATACTTATTCTCTCCTGAAAGAGGTGATCTGTTTTCTTCCCTGAGTCTCTAACCAGGGTTTGGAGGGCTGGGTTTCTTCCCTCAGACTGAAGAAATCCTTTTGAAACCAGGACTAAGAGAATTGACCACAACACAGCTCTTCTGGTGCTGGGCAGGGGATCCAGACACGGGTTTTATTCCTCATTGTCTTACTTCTAAGGGACCTAAAGCACAGCCAAATCTGGGCTCAGAGGAATTTCTTCCAGTACCTCCAGTGGGTTGTGACCTCCTCCTTCCAAAGAACCTGGAGTTCTAACCTCTCTTCTCCCATGTGGACTTCTTCACAGTTCTGCAAGGGTCTCACTGACTGACAGCTCAAGAACAGGCTTCCAGAACCTGCCACTTGGGTTTTGCCAGACAGGGATGTGATGCCTTTGGACATGCATGTTTGACATGCCAGTCAAACAGACCTGGACAGGGAAGGACTAATGGGAAATCAACTGCCTTGGAAAAAAAAAGGAAGCTTGGAACTGGAAGGAAATTTACCCTAAATGTTACAGGATGAGTTTGTCTTCTCTAAAGAACTCAAACTTACATCTTTTGTTGAGAAAATGATGCCGGTGCCTCTTCGCCTCTCTTTTGGCCGCCGCCTCTCCCGGATCGACTGTTTGTTGGGAGATCTGTCATCCAAATCCTGATCTTCACACTCTGGCCAAGCAAAGAAAGACTGCTTTGGTTTCAGTGGCTTACATCTGTGCTTTTGCTAAGGTACTGGGGTTCTTTCCAAGCTGATCAAGGTCATCTTGGCTTGTGTTATAGTACAGAGGAGTTATTAAACCAAATGAAATGGAATATTGGTGCCCTACTACACCTGTTACCTGCACCCCTTCCTTTATCAGAGGTTACCCTGGCTGTCAGCTCTCCCCAAATCATCCTGACTTGCTCCTATGGGAATAAGTACTCAGGGAATCACTCCCCCTAGCCCTAAGGTCCAAATGCTCCATGGATTACTATCTCATCTACTTATGCAAACCGGAAAACATCCCTTTATCCCTCTCTGTTACAAGTAATAGGCTGTATCCTATGCTAGGATTTCCATTGAAACAAATAGCATTGGGTTTGTGAGGTGGCAGCTCCCCATCCTGCTGCCCTCAGAATAGCAAGTAAACTTCCTCTCCCTGTCTGTACACATGGAAAGTTCTAAACCTCATGGAAATCCCTGAGCATTGCCTGTTCTGGCTACGTACCATTCTTCTCCATCTCTGTGGCTGCACCTCTGAAGTCTGCTGGGTTCACAGGGTCAAGACCTAGATACTTATTTGCTCGAGTCAGGTATGAACTTGTATAGAGGAGAGGTGCTGATGTTGAAGGAGATAAAGGTGTTGTCGTAGGTTTGTCTGGTTGCACTGGGCACCTTAATCGCCGATAGACGGTCTGTAAAGAGAGAACCACGACAGCAAGTAAGTAGAGTGAAGAGGAACGAGCAGATCTGGGAGTTGAGGGAACTTGGTCATCTGTTGGAGCATCATGTTTTCCTCACTGCTGCTGGGAGTGATGGCCTCCATCCACCAGATCAGGTTCACTCCATCACATTGGGATGAATATTAAAAGCATTGCACAGCTCAGTGTGGGAGCAGGCTCCCGGCACGGGGAAGTCTGGAATCAACCTCTTTGTCCCTTCAGCCAATGGCAGGACAAAGAAGTTATCTAATAGAAATGGAAGATTTCAAGTGAAAAACCAGAAGTGTAGCAAGGGGAGAAAATTGCTCTCTCTGGCTTTCCATTACACACAGAGCACATGGAAAAATGTGAGCACAGAGCCTCAGCCGAGTCTGCACAGCAAGGATGGATCCAGGCCACGTTTCTATCATTAGCCTTTTCATTCCACTTTTGGTGATCTACATGGTTTTATTTTCTTGCAAGAGACAGAAAAGTAAAATTCCCAGTGGAGAGCAAAGGAGCTCCAACACCTATATACCCACATCCCTCCTGCAGCCTGCTGAGGTGAGGTACCAGTCCTCAGTGTTATCATAGAATCACGGAATGGTTTCAGTTGAAAGAAACCTTAAAGCTCATCCAATTCCAACCCCCTGCCTCGGGCAGGGACACCTTCCACTAGAGCAGGTTGCTCCAAGCGCCTGTGTCCAACCTGGCCCAACTTTTCCAGGGATGGGACAAATGTGGTGGTACATGGATGGCTATGCTGCTGGTTAAGCTGTCTCTTACTTGGAGGTCTAGGGTGTATTGGAAAGTCTGAAGTTTGTC